TATACAGTATCTTTAGTCTCAACAGCATATACTACCTAAGGTTACATCTAAAACAGCCTGGTATAAACAGGCACTGTTACAGGGAAAGAGTTAATGTCATCAACAACCCCTCACATATAGTGCCAGAAATCTGGAGGAAAGATAGGTAACTAAGGGCCTCTTTGGAACAACTTTTTAATGCTTAAAAACAGTTTAGAATGATGGTTTGGAGTGACTTTAGCACTAAGAAAGACACTCCAAACAGGCCATAAGATCGGGAAGAGTTGTTGCACAATTCTTGACCAAGGAAGATGTAGGAGAAAATAGTTCAAACATAACTAGGCGTAGAAAACAAGCTGATTAACATGAAAGTTATAAAAGCAAGAAATGGCACCTGCCCATGAACGTCCTTTGCTATACCAGTGGCTAGTGGGCCTACTTTTATCAAAATTTCAGCAAGGTATTCCATCTGTAGAATCAGTGGCCTTTCGATGTCCAGGTAAACATCTTCGTGACTAAGTGCGATAATGGAACAACCCTGTGGCAAGAGCAAAGTATGAATACTGGAGGTTAAATATAACAAGGACATGTGAAGAAGAGAAGAATTCAGTAAGCTTAAAGGGTCTTACAATTTCTGATGTTAAAGTGTGGCAATAATGAAGGAAGTCTAAGACATGATTTGAAGAACCATTGGCAGCAACCTCCAGAAGAGGTATATCATCAATCAAAATGGTGACATGCCTTTTGTTCTCTTGAATTAAGGCACTAACAGCTCTCTGAATTTTGCAGTACAGTCCAACAAGAACACCTTCATCAGTTTCCTTTCCACTTCTATCTGGTAGCAGAAAAAAACTTGTGCCATATCAAAGATTTGGTGCCATGAAATACATAATGAAAAGCCAAAAAACAAGCACCTTTTGGACCAAAAAGGAACGCATGACAAAAAAGCTCTATAATTGGAAATACTCCAATGTTTTTTTTTTTTTTTCTTTTGGTTCTGTTTTGATAGGAAACGATTTCATTGACCAATGAAATGATACAGAATGATGTCCCAACAATAGGGATTACAAATGCTACATATATATATGACGGTGGCCATCAAATGCTTATAAATGCTACACTCTCTAATCTCCTTATTTATTACTGGTCTCTGTTTAACGGCAGGCGAGATGAAAAGATCATCAAAAATTTCTTTTGGGAATGGCCCAAGAATCCAAGATGGAGAAAGGCATGCACAATGTTAGTTGGGATATTACCAAGAAGCCCCTTTACCTTGGAGGCTTGGGCATTGGCAATGTAAAAGGAAAAAAATGAAGCTCTACTTGCCAAATGAATTTGGAGATTCACTAATGAAAGACAAACGCTTTGGAGGCAGGTTATTATGTCTAAGTATAACTAATCTGACCCTTGCCATCAACGGCCTCCTCCTTCCAGGAAATTCTCTTCCAAAGCCACTTGGCCATTTATCTACAGCTATCCAGCAGTATTAAGGACCTTGGAAAGCAAAAATTGGTGATGGGAGGGAGAGATCCTTTTAGAATGAGCAACGGACTGGTGATGGCTCATTGGCTCAATCGTTCCTCAATCTTTACAGACTTAACATATATGCCATATGCTTTCATCTCAGAAAGATGGAATCAGATGAGATTAGTAATGGGCTTCCTTGCTGCATCGCTTGAAACGGTAATTCTTTCAAATGCTATGGATAGATGGGTTTGGCTGATGGAAACATCAACCATTTTCTCAGTGGAGTCCTATAATCAACATGACATAGACCCCCTCTACAATTGCCTTTGTGATGGAAAATACCGTAGGAGAGTGAAGATTTTCTTCCGGAAACTCAGCCCACAAGAGTATCAACACCAATAACAACAGAAGAAGTTACTGCATCAAAACTTATCCTCATCAGTCTGTGTTTTCTGCTGGAAGGACACAGGGTTGCAAGGTCACCTCTTTATCACTTGTTCCTTTGCTGGGCACTTCTGGTCCTCGGTTTCAGAAGCCCTTGGTAGGCACGCTACATGGCCTATCATCAGTCTTAAATTCCTCTCCTACATGCTCATGGGCCAACACTTCATGGTTCAAAAGAGGACCATTTGGAACTAGCTTATCAACACCTTTTTATGGACCCATTAGAAAGAGAGGAACAGCCACGTTTTCAATGACTTGGGTTCTCTTTAATGCTTTCGGTCAGTGTAAATGTACAAAATCCTTCAAGGACTAGGCTCACTAATCTTTTAGCTACGAGAAGAATATTTTGTTATCCACTATGAATATTTGGAAGTTTTTGTTTCCTCTTTTGTTAATTTCATTCATCAATAAAATTCTTGTTTCTTCTCACAAAAAAAAAAAAAAAATAATAATAATAATAATAATAGAATGAAAAGATAAAAAACACGATAAATTTAAAAAGATGAGGAAACATTTTTCTATTTTATAGCAAAACTGAGAAAAAAAAAAGAAAAAAACTCAATAGCTATCTTTATTTCATGGTTATCCAGATATCCAAGCTCAGTAATGAGGAAGTAATGGAGGGTCAATGAATTATGAAAAATAAATTCTTCGCTGCAAGTGTAGAAAGGGTGGGGGACAACCTACTTCATCAATAGCTGGATATGCAACCAATCCCTTCTAAGTGTAAGTAAATCATCATTTATACAAGTAGAAAATAAGGATACTCCAACAGATGCAGAAAAGAATGAGAAGTTTGAAAAAATGGAGGGGGAATAAGATAAAAGCTTAAATGCTGATATTATACCTGGTTTTCTCACCTGAACAGCCCACCGTAAGCATGTCTAAGAAAAAGAACCTATGGCTGTCCCTTTGAGCAGCTAAGTTACACCCCTGATTAAAATATAGTTCTGCAGATGAATACTTTCATTCTGAACACTAAATTAAAGTAATTAAATGACAGAATTTCAGCACGACAGATAACAGATGAATGAGAAGAGAGATCCAACATCAAGATATTATTGTCAATTTTTATCACTAAAAGCTAGATAAGTCAAAATGTTTCTTTATAAGCTTATCAATCATCATTTAATAACGATTTGGTTCTTGAAAAAAGAGCTTATTTCTTTACCATTGAAAGATTAGTGATTATAAGCTTAATTTTCAAAAGGCCAATAATCAAATTGTTATCAGGCACAATAACGAATTCTTTATGCAACTCGTTAATATGTAATTCTTAAAACTTGTTATGTTGATAGCAGCCTTGAGGAGTTCAGAATTCTCCGTTAGTCCTGCTATATAATCTTGTAATAAATTTCCACCACAGTTCCTCTCATCAACAGCCAAGTTCAAGTGAGCAATAGGAACTCATACCACCATCGAAAAAAAGTCCGTCGCCAAACTCAAACCAACAAATAGCAAAAAAATCTAAGCTATAAACATCCACACACATGCATAAATAGCGAGATCGCACCAGTTTCCTGAGCACGCGGTCATAGTGAACAAAGGACTGAGAGAATGCAACGAAGATGACGGCATTGGAAGAGTGAGGAGAAGAAAAGGCGCGCTTGAGGAGGTGATGAAGAACAAAAGCGCCGCTGGTTTCAACACAATCCTCAACAAGCAACAGACGGCCAACCAGAGGGGAGAGATTCGTAGAATCATCGATACCTATAGCTTCATCAAGCAAATTGGAAGTCATTCGGCTCATGATGGTTCGAGGTTTTAGGGCGGCGACAGGCGGAGGAGAGCGAGAAAGGAGAAACCAAATATATAGTAATTTTTCGTTTGGTTACTAATGTGGGAACTGGAAATGCTTCGCGGTCCTATGCTGTACTTAATTTAATTTTTATTTTTTTTAAAAATAATTCTGTTTATTTACTTTCCACTCATATTTTAAATGAAGCCACATTTTTTTAAAGTAAACAAAATAAATTATAAAATTTTATTTTAAATTTTAGAATTTGATTTTTTTTTTTTAAAAAGGTGAACAAATATAAACTCTTCAAAAAATAAAAATAAAGCAAAATCGTTAATGACTATTGGTTGTAGTACTGTGACGAGTTTTTGTAGTTTGAAATTTGTAATGATTTAACGAGTGTGTAATAATCAAGGTATTTAACCATCAACTTTCAAGAGGTCCATTTCTTCGAGATCGTTTTTCACTCGCAAATGTTGGCTTGCTGATCTCGGGAATTCAAGTCAGGCCATAAGCTTGCAGACGTAATTGGAGTCAATCCAAGCATAACTCCTTGAATAAGAAACCCGTTCCAAAATTTAAAACTTGATTTTTAGTTCCTATAACTATTGAGCCCCCCCCCCCCAAAAAAAAAAAA